CTCACGTTGAGTGACGGTGTGTGTGTGTGTGTGTGTGTGTGTGTGTGTGTGCAGGGTGGAGCCAGGAGTTGAGGCGGCCTTCCTCGGTACCCGAGCCGGCCTGATGAGGGTCGTGAGATACGCAGGAGTGGAGAGCAGAGTGGCAAAGTAAGACTCTGGCCTGACAGCGTTCACAGTTTGTGTTCAGTTCACAGTTTGTCTCAGAGACACTCAGTGCTGGAGGAAGCACTCAGATCCTTTAAGACTCAACGTCTGACTTGTTGTGCAGCAAAAACAAACTCACAATCAGCCTGCTGACAAAGAGTTTGTACCTGAGCGTCATGATGCCACAGCCCAGGCATGAAATAAATAACTTTGCATTATGTCTTAGAGGAAAAATGTTGTCTGAATTTTAACTTTGCTCAACAGGAGGTTTCTGACCCCGACTGACAAAGACAACCTGTTCACCATCGATCACTTCCCTCTGTGGTACCGCCTGGCCGTGGAAAACACTCCTGGACGCTTCTACTATTACCCCGTCAACGACAAAGGTCCGCCTCTTTAGATCTCTCAACAGTTATTATATCAACATCATCATCAGATGCATCAGCTGATCCTGAGGTGAATGTTTCCTCAACAGGAGTGAAGTATGTGATCGCGACGACAGCAGTGACGGTGTCGTCTGAAGGGAAGACGGCGATGGCTGGAGGTGAGTCATACTGTTGCAGCTCGGATTCAAACACTCACACTGTAGACACTTTTTAAATGTTGTTGTGATGTGTATCTCATCTGCGGGACGTCTTGGATATGTTGTTGCTTTCTGCTTTGTTATTGTTTATTTGTGTTGATTTACTTATTTTGCCTGATATCAGACACTCTGTGCACTCTGACTGATATCTGTGGAGGAGAGGACTCAGTTAATCCTAGCAGATCACACGAGACCAACTTTCCCCCTGAATCTAACATCACTTTAAGACCACACTGATGCGTATCCATAACAACATACTTGTTTTGCCAGGTTTTAAAAGTGGAGTGGAGCAAAGTAAAACAAACTATGATGTCAGGCCTTATTGAAAGACGTTGATTTAGAGCAGCCTCAATAGCAGCGTGTGTCTTAGCATCTTGGCGTTCGCCATTGTTGCCATAACTTCTCTTTGGTTCTGGCGTGCTGCTTAGCAACACTTGGCGGTGTAAGTTCCTATGGCGCTGATTGGATCGTTTATATTGTCCCTCCCACTGACGATAGCCGTGGCCAGAGGTATTATGTTTTCGGGTTGTCCATCCCATTCTTGCGAACACAATATCTCAAGAAGGTCTTGAGCAAACTTTTTCAAACTTGGCATAAAATGTCCACTTGACCTCAACGATGGACTGATTAGATTTTGGCAATCAAAGGTCAAGGTCACTGTGACCTTGCGTCTATCTCATACTCATGAAAGCAATATCTCAAGAAGACCACGGGGAAGTTTCCTATAATTTGGCACAAACGTCCACTTGGACAAAACATGTTTTTGAATTCATACACTAAATATGACGAAATTTGACACAAATGTCTTAAAGGATAAAATAATGAAGTGATGACATTTTATATCCCAAAGGTCAAAGGTGGAGGCACGTGGTGCAGTGATTAGCATTGTCGCTTCACAGTGAGAGGGTTTGCATGTTCTCCAGCTTCCTCCCACAGTCCAAAGAGATACTGAATTTGTGACAATCATCTTTAAACCGTGCTGATTGTATAGATCTCATGTTGTGCCACAGGGTAATGTGTGTGTGAAGCATCCATGTTATTTTAGAGACATGGATGTAAACTGTGAGAGAAACTTGACTGGCTCGTGGAGGCATATAATCATGAGGCAGTAATTCTAGCTGTGACTGAGAAAGTGCTGTTTTATGTCACATCACGAGATGAATCAGTTAACTCAGTGGTCTGGACCCAGGCAGTTACTTATTGGTTTCCTTAACTGTCCCATTGTTCATCTGCTGGATCTCGGGGTATTTACTGCTCTTGAAATGTCTTAAATGTGGTTCCCTTAAAAAAGAAGCTCTAGACGGGCTTTTAAAAGTCTTCATATTAATACAGTTTAGTTTTGAATATTTGCTCTTGCCTGTTGTAGGCAGTGATGTGAGTTATAAAATGTTTCTGTTTGTGACAGCGAGCTGTCAGAAGAAGTTGTACACCTCTAAACTGAAGGTGGGATTGTTGTGACAGTGTGCGCTGCAGGATGCTGTTCAGTTCTTGTGACTACGGCTGCAGCTCCAGCAGCTGGAAGCTCATCACGTCATCAGGGACAAGTGCTGAATTCAGTAAAAACTTAAACTTTTTTAATTAGTTAATGTATTTGTGTCCATTTTTAGAAACTTATCTGGATTAATTTAGTTTGTCATATCAGTAGACATTATTGTTGTACACTGCTGGGTAGTATTGAAAACAGTAATAAATATTTCTAGGCCACATCGTCTCTCCTGGAAAGATCTGACCATGAAACATAAAATTATAATCTGTTTGGCATTTCAAATGTCTTAAATATAACTGAGTAATTCTGCAGAACACTGTGTCCAGATTAAATCATGAGAGCATGCATTAAACAAGAAAAAAACCCAAATCTAAATAAAGTAAATAACATTTGCAGCTAACGAGTGTCAGGACGACCAGCTGCAGCCTGAGTCGGACTGAGAGTGAAATAAAGTCAAATATTTCTACTTATCTTTTTCTTATCTTACCAGGAGCTGAATTATCCTCAGAGGTCTCTTTCTATCCACAAAATGGACCCAATGATTCAAACCAGTAAAAACACTCAGCATGTTTACATGCACGGTTAAGTGGAGCTCCAGTCCCAGCTGGACGAGGACATCTAACTGGCCTACTGTCCTTGTCCCAGT